AGGGTAAATGAAGTGCTCATCTTTTTAAAAAGGGAAAAAGGACAATCCCGGTAATTATAGGCCTGTCAGCTTAACTTCAATATCAGGGAAAATATAGAATTTAACATCAATCAATTAGCATCAACTTAAAAAGCACAAAGTATTGGGTGGAATCTAACATGACTTAAAAAGGCAAATCATACCAGGCCAATTAATTTCCTTCTGTGATCAAGTGGCCACATAGGCAAGGAAGGAGCAATGGCTATAATCGCTTTGACCACAAGTGGAGCTAAAAAGTTGAGAAATATGGGAAATATGGGGGAAAGTTTCTATGTGTGCCCAGTGCTTTCCATCTTTCTAGGTGGCGGATGCCAAGGCATAAATCTAGCTGAGAAGCCTGGCAGACCTCCAGGTGGTAGCCTCCATAGTCACACCCAACTCTGAACAGTCATCTTAAGAACTAATCCTACTGGGGGTGAGGATTTGGCTCAGTGGTTCTGCCGCCTGCCTTGCAAGGGCAAGGGCCCATGTTTAACCCCCGGCACCAAAAAAAAAAAAAAAAAAATCCTACTTCCATTAAATTATTTCCAACTTGCTCATTTTCTTCATATCTCAGTGTAAAATTCAAAGAATATAATAAAATATCTGTGTCTTCATTAGGGAAAAAAGCTTTTAGGAAAGAAGACAAAGAATAAGAAATGCATTGGTTCCTTTCATGAAATTGTTCTTTAGCACTTATATGAGTAAAATGTAGATTTAATCCACAGCACATCATTTTCTGTTCATTTAGAAATAAGCAAGACAAACTTTTGGATACCTAGGAAAATAAGTATAAAGTTAATAGGTCTTGACTAAGCCCAGGCATTTCTCCAGGTCTTTGATATTTGATTCCTCCAAACCCATAGATGTGAGTGTGCAAATGTTTAAGGTTCTCACTCGAGAGGACTCCAATTTCTTTGTAGGTATAAGCTGTCCTTGAATTTTTATAATGAGGTAAATTAAGTCAGTTCTGTATTTGTCTTTTATTAGAATTGAGAGAACTCTCATCATTTGGTGGTCCATCACGTTACCTCAGACGAAAATTAAATCCAGAAGATTCAGCATGATCTCTGGGGAAGAGAATTTGTTAATAGTTCATCGGGATCATCGCTAGGCTGCTAGCTTTATATGCGCCATATAGGAAAAGACATTTTTACCCACAGGGAACTTTAAAGCAGGGGGCAATTCTGAAACACAAGTATAGATGATATACTAGGTACTGCAAGGGGGAACCCTAAAGAAAGTCTTTTAAATAAATAATGTTCCTTTCATTTGGGGGGTCCATGAAGAGAAAATAAGGACATGGGAAGAAGAAGAAGAAGCACAAAAAGAATACACATGAGACCATAGTTGATTTTTAATTGGGTCATATATGTCCAGACATGAGGAGGCATTTCCAAAACAAAAGTTACACAAAAATACTAGAAGCACCAGGACTCTAGTTTCTTAATCCTTAGAGATCAGTTAACCTTCAATGAAGCCAAAAGAAAAAGGATTTGGGCAAAAATGATAAGGATTTTATTGAGTATTTGCTTCGCTAAAATGAGCCCTTGTGAGTTAACCCTATCCCTGGGATGTTGTTCCTTTGCTTTAGTTCTATCCATGTTAAGTATCTATTTGTCATTATTTTTCCCCAAGCATTTCCCCATTTCCTCAGCTTATCTGAATAGATAGGAGGATTTGGGCCCCTGAAGACTTCCCTCTTATGTGGGTGTGCAAATGTGCACACACAAGCATACATATGCACACATTACTTCCTCTTCCCTTTTCTCTAAATCTGATTTGCAAATGAGTTTAAAGAGTAGCATCATTCTCACGCTGATAAGAATGAAACATGAAGAAACAATATTTAATAGAAATGTTGAGACTTACAGCTAGGCAAAGTAAATACAAAATTCAATTTTGTTTGGCTTAGGAAAGAAGTCTCATCAGCTTCCCTCTTGCCACATACATCAGATATTTAGGCCAAATGTACAGCTTGACTTTATCTAGGATTTCTGTTGCCTGTTGTCCAAAGTGCTCTATTTTCTCTGTCAATCTTCTCAATTCTAAAGCATTTAGGGTGAAATAAACTCCCAAGGGAACTGAAAAAGAGTGATTCAGACTGAACAGACACAATCAACTATTGTCTTTCTGGGTCTGAGCTGGGTGAAGCCTCCTTCCCTTTACTTCTGCTGCCACCACCCACTCTCACTAGAGAAGATTGTCTCTCTTTCAGACATTAGCTTGATCTCATTAAATTCCATCTCTCCAGTTACTCAAGCCAAAACTCTGAAGTCATCTTGTCTTAGATGACCACCATTTCCCTCCAATCAGCATCTAACTCAGCAGTGAATTATGTGGATTCTACTTTCCAAATATACCTAGAATCGAACCACTTCTCCCAACAGCCACTGCTGCCACCTTGATCTATACCATCTTTTCTTGCCTTAGTTCTTCTAGTAGCTTCCTCTATGAACTTCCTGCTTCTGTGTCTGCCTCTTTACAGTTGATTTGCAAAAGAACAACCAATGTGTCCTCTATAAAATTTAAACGAGATCATGCCACTCCCCTCCTCAGTACTTTCCAATGGCCTTTCACATCTCTAAAAGCAGTTGGAGTCTTTAGAATGGCCTCTGTGACCCAACAGGACCTCACTTTCTTTTCTTTTCTCACATCATCTGGCATCATTCTCCTCCCTCACTTTCTCCACTCCAAGTAGAACAAAATCCCTGACACTCTCTGGGGAATCCTCAAAAATACTACCAGGTGTGTTCCCACCTCCATGACTTTGTGCTGTTCTCTCTCTCTCTCTCTCTCTCTCTCTGGCACATTCTCACTACACATTTTTACCAGGCTCCTCTTGCCTCCTTCATGATTTGCCTCAAATTTCATCTTCTTAATATGGTCCCCCTTAAAAACATTTCATTCAAAATTATAAACTCTCTCATCTTCACATTCCTCATCTTTCTCCCCATTTTACTCTTCTCTGTAGCACTTTTTCCTCCTAATGCACTGTATAATTTACTTGCTCTAATTGCTTCCTCTCCCTAATAGATGCAAACTCTATGAAGGCAGATACTGTGTTTATTTTATACACTGCTGTATTCCTACTATCTAGTACAGTGCTTAACATAAGTGTTCCTAGTCTTGGCCAAACTAATTATATGAAAACATCATATCCACACAAAGACTAATTAATATGTTCATGTTTGTAGCAGTATTAATAACCAAAATCTGAAACAATTCAAATATCCTTCAACTGGCAAATAGATAACTACAATATGATATAGTTATACAATGAAATACTCTTCTGCCATGAAAAATGAACACATCCTGATTCTTGGGGCAACCTGAATGAACCTCATAAATTTATTCTGAGTGAAAGAAATTAGACACAAAAGATAACATATTATACAGCTCCATATCAGACATGGATAGAAAATACAAATCCATACAGGTGGAAAGCACATTAATGATTGCCTGGCCCTAGAGGTAGGAACAGGTGTGAACTGCAAATGGGCATGAGGAAGTTGTAGGGTGCTGGTAATATTCTTTTTTTTTTTTTTTTTTTTGGTAACATTACCAGTGATGCATATATTTCTCTGGATCTTTGACATGTATGTTTTTCTTCTGACTTATAATAAGCTTCTGATAGTTAAGAACTTTCTTATAGACTAAGACTATAAAGTACCTTGTGCTTGCCAGGCAGGCACAGCATCACTGAGCTAAACCCCTGGCCCTTGCTGGTAATATTCTAAAACCAGATTGTGATGATCACTGTATAATTCTATAAATTTATTACAAATTATTGAATAGTATACTTAACAATGTTATAATATATAAATTATACCTCAATAAAACTATTTTTTAAAGTTAATTTAAAAAAAAAAAAAAAGCTTGAAAGCTGTTATGTTAAATAAGTACTCTCTTAATGAAACCAAGTCCACAAGCTCAAATTCCTGGGAGCTAATGAAACTTTTTAGTCTCTGTTTTCATTTCTTTCATCTAATACATAGTGATGTGTAAAACTAATCTAGGCACAATAGGAGAAGATATGGCCCCCTCTAGGAGTTTATAATCTAATCAGAATAGGTACTGAATGAAAAATGAATATTCCAGTAAGATCTCAGGTACTGATGCAAAGACAGCTGTTCATAGAAAAACAAGAATAGGATTTAAACAGGGTTTTCATGTATGAGCAGAAAGATAATAAGCAGACATGGGAGCTTAAGACTGCCCATGTGCCATCCTCTACCCACCTCTCTTTTACATGCCATTATCATATGGGATAATAGGCAAGAAAATATAAAAGCATCAGCGCAAAACTTCAATTATTCCAGAAAAACAATTCAGGGATGTGTCTGACCAGCTGACTGCCTGGTACAGAGTAGGTCCTCGACATATGTGAATGCATACAAATGGAGAGCAGCAAATTGTGGGTTTGCAGAGAAAGGTCACACATGCGTGTGCACACACACACACACACACACACACAGCATTTGTAGGGTCACATCTTTCAGATGGAGACAGAGTCAGTGCACAGATGTGAACGATATTTCTACCTTTCCCAGCCTTCCAAAACTTCCAAGAGTTCATCCTGGCCTCCTTTCAATACTCTTTTGCATAGGTATTTTTAATGCCAAATTTGGTCCATGGACCCTGTCCAAAAATCCATTTCCTTCTGAGTCAATTGTGTTCTTTATATTTGAAGGCAAAACATTAACAGTGATGCATATATCTCTCGATCTTTTATATGTATGTTTTTCTTCTGGCTTATAATAAGCTTCTGATAGATAAGAACTTTCTTATAGACTAAGGCTACAAAGTACTATATTTTTCTATTAATAGAATGAAATATTTAGTAAAAGTTCTCTTTGGATGAAAATAGAAAAAGGTAGATGGGTCGATATGAATGGCTGAACAAATGAAAAAATTCAAAGAATCACTGCATCCTTAGTGACAATCTAAAGCCTTTTCTGTATGTTCTATCTGTATTATAGGACCAGAAGCAGACACAGAAATTAATATTCGAGGAGTCCCAGATAGATTTTGGATCTGCTAAAGAGTGTCATCTGAGACAACTTCAGCAACTGAAGAAAAAATTGCTGGCCCTTCAGCAAGAACTGGAGTTTCGCACAGATGAGTTGCAGACTTCCTACTGTTCTCTCCTGCAGTATCAGTCCATCCTGGAGAAGCAGACTTCCGACCTGGTTCTTCTTCACCATCACTGCAAGCTGAAAGAAGATGAGGTATTGCTGTCCTAACCATAGAACTGTCCTGTATGCCCACAGACCTATAGAAATCAGGCCAGCCATCCAACCCTGAGAGAAAGTAAACTTAATGAGGAGAGCTTCGTCACATCTTGAGCAGGCTCTATAAATTTTCCCTCTTTGATTCTTAATGTTTTTGAAGCTAAGCAGAAAAAAACAACTAAACATAATTCCATAATTGGGTTAGATCTCCAGAGTTAATGCATGTAGGATATGTGACCTGCGTGTACACGTGAGTTCATCCTCTCCATTCTGTTACCACTGCAATTGAAATGCAAGAGACTCTAAGTCCCTGTTGGTCATTTAAAAAGATATAAACCATTAAATCAACTATTTTTAGATAAATCAGGTCTTCATATATAAATTCCTGGCATCTGCACAGTTGATAAGAAAACTGACAGTGAATCTGAGTCAATTGCTGAGAGAGCCAGATCATTTTTTCAGACTGGAGTTACATCCTCTAGACTTAGCCTAAATATATTCTGGACATTCATTTATACCTAAGTTCCAGAAAGTATTTTTTAAAACCATAGCAGCATTCCTGTAGAATCCCAATATCCAAAGCTACAGAACTAAAACCAATTGAACATTAATAGCAATAAGATCATGGCTCTGAGTAATGGAGCAGCAGACTTCTATCTGGGGCTTCCCTTGGCATTTTCTTTCTTCAGATTAATGGAAATTCCAAGAAGGGTTTTAGACAGTGTTGTTCTATAGGGACCAACTGCAGGGACTTTATTAGGGGCCTTAGAAAACTCAGTTCTTTTTAAGGGAATATTATGGCTGAAGGAAAATTTGCTAGAAAGCATTGGGAAGGTAAAGAACAAAGAAAAGTTATCCTACAAAACATAATCTAGGACCAAGCCTATGAGCATAAACCACAGTTTAATAAAGCTACTGTACACATATGTTAAAACTGGCCTGTTCATTCAAACAAGAAAGTCCAGCCTAAATAAAGCAACCCTAGATTCACTGAAATAGTATATAGTTGCAAAGAATAGCAAATAATAAACATTTATTGTGTATCATATACAAGAAGATCAGAGACAGGAGGTTATTGCCTTAATGGGAATTGTGTCACATCAGCTCAAGACTTGCATGCTCTAAGTCACCTGGGGTGGCTACTGCAGCTCCAGGCATCACATTCAGTGAAGAGGAAAGAAACCAGATTCCCAATCTAGATGAAAAGGGAAGAAAAGCACAACACCCTTTCTTTTCAAGGACACTTTTCAAAAGTCTCCACACAATACTTATATAATTGGCCAGAATTAGTTACATGGCTATAGTTCCTAGGAATCCTAGGAAATATAGTGCTTCAGGAGGTGTATTGCCACTCCTAATAAATACAAGGTTCTATACAGAGAGGGGGAGCAGGGAATAGATATGCAATTCAGCAAATGGCAATCACTGTCTCAAATAACTGAGAAAGCATCAGAAATTTGATTTTAGGCCTTCTGCCAGGTTCCCCCAACATTTTGTTACACAGAAGCATCAAACTTTTACCTAAGGCTGGGCTCTGTCAACAGCAGAGCCCACAGTGGTAGTGAACACGTGCTGCAGCAGGCTGTTTGCTATCACTGAAAGCTTGCCATCCCTGGTAAGACAGCTATGTGAGTACAATGATGAGTACTCTGGATGCAGTTCCAGGAAGCTTGCAGGCAGGTGAGTCAAGGAAAAGGCAGGAAGTCTGTGAAGGAAGTTGCTATGGATCCGATATAACTGGGGTTTGATGCTTCTGGGGATCTTTGGGAGACACCAGAGCATACCTCAGAGTAAACCCACCAACCTACTCCAGTCATTGGATAAAGGTTGCTCCTAGGAATGCTAACTCCAGCACTTCTAACCTCCCCTGCCTTGGTCTTCTGAATAAGTGAGCTCCTGGGCCAGAGAAGCCCTCAGGCAAAGTAAAAAATGGTTGCAATTCAATAGGTTTAGTGTGCAAAGAAATAGTGTCAAGGGGATATGAGTAGGCCACTGACAACTTCTGTTATAAACATTTGAATATAAAATACTCCTCCCCTCTTCTCCTTATCTAATAAACACCTTAAACTAAATGATCCTTTCCTAAAAAGAATCTCAACTATCAGGCAGCAAGTATAAGTAGGTTAAACTAATGGAACATGTTCTATCAGAACTGGACTATTTGAACCAATGTGAAGCCTTCCTCGAAGGATTCTCCTCTTAACTCCTTGAACACACATAATTCAAGCCATATAATTTAGTGCCCTCTGTTATATATAGTTTGCTAATTTTAAATCTTGCGTCCTGAACATTTTAAGTTTTAAACTCTTTGAGAGATAATCTATATCTCATATGTATGGATTCCTCCTGCACTCAATACAGTGTTCATGAGCTTTCAATAAATATCTGTCAATTAGATTCCTGACTAGAGAGGAAAGAAACCCAAGTAAGGATTATGCAGATCTCACAGGAACTGTGGGTCATACGCCCAAATGTCTCTTGGGAACATTAGTAATGTGGACCTGTGTGTATGAAGGGCTCTACGTTTTCCAAATTAGATCTCTAAAGAGTGCTTAGGAAAGAAAAGATGCTAGCATTTCAAGCCTTAAAAATACGGAGCAGTATAAATCCATTCCTCTTAATAAGTATTTATTGAGTTCCTGTCACATTCTGGACAAAATGGGTTACAGACATGGTTGGTCCCTGCTTTTAAGAAGCTTACCTCCAAATAAGACAACCTTTAATTTCTAATCATTCACATCTTGATATTACGTACTAGAGCTTTTAGGTCTGTACTGCATCTATTCTGTCCATCTGGGTTTCTAGTTTCAATACAGGCTCGCTCTGTACAGGATCTTATAACCATACTCTTTCCTCACTAGATGTTTCCAAGGGTTCAGTGTGGTTTCATTCCTACACTAACAGGTGATTCTCTATGAAGAGGAAATGGGAAATCATAATGAGAACACAGGAGAGAAGCTCCATTTGGCACAAGAGCAGCTTGCCTTGGCTGGGGACAAGATTGTCTCCCTAGAAAGAAGCTTAAACCTCTACAGGGATAAATATCAGACTTCCCTGAGCAACATCAAGTTACTGGAGTGCCAAGTGAAGATGTTAGAGGGGGAGCTCAGCGGGCTCATCAGTCAGGTAGGCCTTAAACCAGACCTCACAGTCCCCGAGTTCCTGCAAGCTGACATGCCCCTAGGTGGCTTGCTTTTGTGGTCCCAGCCTCCTCCACCAGAAACTCAATTTTTACTAATCTTTTTTTTTTTTTTTCGGTTCTGGGGATCAAACTCAGGACCTGGCATTTGCAAGACAGACAGGCCACTGAGCTAAATCCCCGGCCCAGAAACTCAATATTCTGCCCTTGAATTTTGTAGGCATTAGCTCTTGAATTTCTAGCTTTTGCATCTCCTTTACAATTATTCCTTAGAAGTTTTGAAGCTCCTTAATGAGTACAAAGCTTTCCATTTCAAATAAGGCAGAAGAATTACCAAACGACCACCGCCCCCATCTTCCATGTTCTCACGGAGGTCAGGCAATGAGCTCTTCCAGGTCACAGGCTCATGCAGACCATGACTTCAGGATCAAGCTGGAGGAGAAAGTCACAAAACTTTTCCTTTCCATGGGGAAGAAGAGCCAAAAGACCAGGATTTTCTTCTCCTCTTTTAATTGCTTCTCAAGTTGCACAAATAATGCAATTATTTAGGCCCCCCCAGATAGAAGTATGGAGAATACACGTGAAAGTCTGACTTCAGCCTCTTCCCTCTCCTTTTCCTTAGATAATCACTTGAATAATGTGGTGGGAATCTTCCCAGGGCTTCTACACCGTCACGTGTATTCTTTTTACATAAGTGACATGATGTGGACGTTAGAAATAAAGTTTTATGATTTGCTTTTAAAGTGCATATCTTAATTTCTTTTTGTCACTACCTTGTTATATAGTATGGATATACCATCTGTAGACCTTTTATCCTCTGTTACAAACTGTAAGGGCCAGGGATTTAGCTCAGTGGTGCTGTGCCAACCTTGCAAGTGCAAGATACCGAGTTTGATTCTCAGTACCAGAAAAAAAAACTATCAAACAAACTGTAATAAGCATCCTTGTTTCTAGCGAATAATTCCAGAAGTGAGACTGCTAGATCAAAACATATGCTTATGTTTAATATTTAAAGTTACTTCTGGAGATCCTTATAAGATTACTGACATTGAGAAATGGGAAGAAAGGAGCTAAAGGTGTAGGGAAGATGGGACGGGTAGGGGAAGGGTAAAAAAGGAAAAGAAAAAAAATGTGAGATAATGAAAAGATGGAAATAAAGTGGTTGTAGATGGGGAGGGGGGTAGGGGGTGAAGGGAGGGCAGGGACAAGGGGAAAAAATGAGAACCAAGACTTGTCATGTAGAGGTACAACATCCCAACAATGAATGTAAATGTACTGTATCCCTAAAATGTACCAATAAACTCAATTAAAGCTGAAAAAATAAATAAATAAATAAAGTTACTTCTGGGCCGGGGATTTAGCTCAGCAGTTCAGTGGCCTGCCTTGGAATCTCAAGGACCCAAGTTCAATCCCCGGTACCAAAAAATAAATTAATTAATTAAATAAAATAAAGTTACTTCTAAATTGTATATCAAGAAGGTTCTACCAGTTTATACTTTTACTAGCACATGTAATGAAGAACTTTTTCTCCATACCGTATGTTTCATTCTTTTTAAGTTGTGCTAAATTGATGGGTATGAGGGGAAAGAATGCTTTCTCATTACAGCTGTCATTTTCTTAGGGCCGGGGATTTAGCTCAGTGGCACTGTGCCTGCCCTTACAAGCACAAGGTCCTGAGTTCGATCCCCTGTACCAAAAAAATGTGTGTGGAATATGCAGTTGTCATTTTCTTTGATTCTACTAGTTGCTGGTTGGGTTCCCCACGAAAAAGACTCCAACACAAGTTAGCATGCAGGACATTTTTAGGGAGGGCTCTTAGTATTTGCATCTTATAACAAAAGAGAAGGAAGTATGGCTAGGCTGTAAGAGAGAGAAGCTGAGCTATGATACAATCTCACAAAGGCCTCAGCCAACCCCATGGTGAGATGAGGGGCTGGAGGAACCCTCAGAGTTGTCCTGAGTTGAGGGCAATGAACCTGGCCTTTGTACCTCCCTGTTGATCAATTATCGGCTAGGGGCCACCCCTAGGGAGAGATGTGGTCTTGGGCAAAGCAATTTTCTTCAGCCCAGGCAAACCCTGATAAGGACCAATGGCTGGCAACTGTCCTGACAGTGGCTCAGCCAGTCAGTCTTTTATTGCCAGAGGGCATCTGGGGGAGCATCACAGCCTCTGTCACACAGAGGAGATGCTGAGCACCGTTCACATTGGTCATGTGGAGTTTTACTTTACAAATTACTTGTTTTAATTCTAACCCATTTTTAACTGGGCTAATATTTTCTGTATTGATTTATAGAACTTTCTTATTATATTACAGGTAATCTACCTTCATTATATATGCTGCAAATATTTCTCCCAGTGTGTAACTTTTCATTTTACTTTATTAATGTTATTTTTTGCCACACAGAATTTTTTAATTTTTATGTAATTGAATCTATCAGTTCTTCTTTATAGTTCTAGGCTTTATGTCTTGCTTAGGAAGACCTTCTCCATTCCCAAGATTATAAAAGTTTATCTCATATTTTCTTTTAGCACTTCATAATTTTGCGGTTTTGTGTTTTTATCTTTAATCAATCCAGAATATATTTTAATATACTTTTAATATTTATATAATGAGATAAGGCTCTAATTTTATGTTTATCTAAATGGATCTCCAGTGGTTCCCAGACCATTAATTGAACATTCCAGCTTTTCCCCACTCAAGTACCAACTCATAATACTGATTCCTCTATACATATAGTTCTTTCCAAACTATATTTTGATCTGCCTTCCAATTCTGTCACCAATGTCAGAGTTTCCCTGACTTTATAGCTGATAACTGTTTTGTAACTGTTTTATAGCTCCACTATTCTATATTTCAAATTTTTCCTTGCCCTTTCTGTACATCTCTTCTTGATGAAATTTAGATTTATGTTGACTGACTTTTTCACTATATATTAACTTGGGGGAAATTAGCATACATGGCATACTTGTACTTTTATTCAAATTTTCATATGTGCCCTTCAGGAAGACTGTATGCTTTTTTTTTATTGAGTTTATTGATACAATCTAGGTATACAATACAGTTATATTCATCATTGGGATTTTGTACCTTTACATAATAGGGCTTGATTCTCATTTTTTCCCCTTGTCCCTGCCCTCCCTTCACTCCCTCCTCCCCTCCCCATTTACAAACACTTTATTTCCATTTTTTCAGTTTCTCATATTTTTTTCCTCTCCCTTATTTCCCCCACCCTTCCCACTTTCCCTACACCTTTAGCCCTTTACTTCCTATTTCACATTATTAATTATCTCATTAGGATCCTGTGTACTATTATAGTTTTTCACACCAAAGAAACTATTCGGTATTTCAGTTAAAGAAATCTCTGTATGAACATTAAAAATAGGGAATCCTGAAATAAAACTAAAAAGGAAAGTAAAAGAGAAGAGACAATGATGTTACATTAAAATAATCCTTAATTCTGGAGATGAAAATGGTCCCTGAACATATTTAAATTGCTTCTTGCTCTTATAGTCTTATCTTATTCTTTTTTTGATTATTTAGAGAATACTTTATTAGTTTCTGTAATCAAACCCATGTAGATATCACCTTACATATTTAGTAAAATGTGTTACCCCTGTGTACATAGGAAAAAAATAAAAAATAAAAAATTAACATTTCTAGGCCAATATGGCTGTCCATTTCTGTACAATGCCAACTCAACACTGTAAATTGGGATGACTTTTTCCAAAATTGGCAGCACCGTTAAAGTTTCCCAAAATTCAATTTATATATATATATATATGTATATATTTATATTGATATAAAAGGACTAATAATAGCATTATGTTATGCATCAATAGCAGCAACAGCTTTTCCAGGTTCTGCAGTCATCTGAACAAAATTACAGATATTCAGCACATTCCATTAAAAACAAAACAAAACAAAAAGAAACAAAGAAAAGAATAATATCCAGAAAACAGCAAAGTTCTGTTGCTGTTGTAGTACCTGGCACCATATTTTTTTTTTAAGCTGTATGCTTTTTTTTTATAAAGCTTCCGGCTTTTATTACTTCCGGATAAGTTTATGTCTAGATATATTACAGTTGTGTTTTTATGAATAGAAACTTTCATATACTTAATCTTAAGAATTATTATTGATGTATAGGAAAACATCTCTTACTCTGCCACCTTACTAACTCTTTCAATGGATTTTCAGTTAAAAATCTCAGATTTTTCTAAATTGATTTCACTTTCAAATTTTATACAAGAATTTATTTTCCAACTTATTGTACTACCTAGAACCTCCAGAACAACATAGAAACATAGTATCATTGCCTTGCTCTTCACTCTAGAGGAAATGTTCTCAGGATCTTGCCACTAAGTGTAATGCCTGTTCTTGGCTTCTTGTTAATACCTTTTTTCAAGTTTAAGGCCTTACTGTATCTAGTTTGTCAAGAATTTTATATCAAAAATGAGCACTGAATTTTATCAAATGTTTTATTAGCATCTATTCCTTAATGAGGTAGATTATATTTGATCATGAAATATTACTTTAATAAGCTTATTTTTATTAAATTTATAAATTTTTTATTTTTTTGAGTCTATTCTCAGAAATTAGATTAATTTTATGCTTTTCACTTTGTGTTCTCCTCTCATAGTGATGTATGAATTATGCCATCCTATTATGAGTTGGATAGCTTTTCACCTTTTTTTAAATCTCTGAAACTATACATATAACATAAAAAATGTCTATTCCTTTAGTACTGCAAATAAATCCAACTATAACTTACTACTTCTGCATTCCTGAACTTCTCTTTCTGCTGTAATAATTTCTTCTTAATTCTTTCCAAAATAATTGTGGGTGGCCAAATATCTCAATATCTCTATATCTGAACAAAGTTTCTTTTGATATCATTCTTGAATGCTAGTTTGGCTGAATACAAAAACTTTCCAAAGTATCTTCCCTGATGTCTTTATTGCTGTATAGTCTTATACTACCCGGTACTAAAGATCAGTTGTTGAACATCAACCTGTTTCTCATTTTCTATAGGTCCTCTGTTTTATCTCTTTGAACACTGGAATAAGTTTTCAGGCTAAAAATATTTTTAGTTTAATTTTCATCAAGCCTCTCAACACTTAACTGAATTTTAATCTGAATATCTGCATTTTTCTTCTATTCAGGGAATTTTTCTTCTATTACTTTTAAATCAATTTCCTTTCTCATCCCTTAGTATTAAGGACATATTAGAATACACAGATATATTCTTCCTCTTTCTTAACTTTTCTATTATATTTTCATTTCCTTTGCCCTCTTACACACTAAATTATTTACATAAACGTCATCTGTAGTCAAGTTTAGATTTCTGACTGACCTTTCTGCAGCTTGCTCATAGGCAAGTTTCGTGCTCAGTGAACATGAACTATTTCTAACTTGGCCTGAAAAAGCCCAGTTAAGAAAACAAGTTTGATGGGGGTGGGCACTATCATCCAAACTAGAATATTTGGCTCTTTTTATACTCTGTGCATCAGTTTACCCTACATTAGAACAGACTAAAAGGGGGTAGTAACCTTCATACATGATTTCAGCTGATCTAAGAAAAGATATTTTTTGAACAAAAATAAATCACTCATACTCAGATTAATAAAAGTATCAAGTGTTAAAATTTCTTTGAAGGAAAATTATACAATATCTATCAAGTTTTAAATATAAATTTCTATTCCTACTTTGTGAATTTAATCTACACATTTACCAAAGTAGGTACTCAACAATTTGTGTGCAACTTGTATTTGTTTCAGCTTCATTTTAGGGGAAAAAACTAAAAGCAATCTATGTTCTATCATTAAAAAGTACTTTAAAAGTACAGTATAGAAGTACATGTACTAATATGGATAAATCTCTAAAATAGCTTAATCCATTTTTATGTTTTAAAAATCCAACATAATCCATATTTCATAGATTCATCTATATTATGTGAATAGATAATTCTAGAAGGATATGTACAACTTGACATCTCTGAAAAATGGAAGGGGCAGGGGATTAGAGGTAGTGGTCAAGGAGAAAGTTAGACTTGCCTGTAATGTTACGTGTTTTAGAACAATAATGTAGACATTATTACTCATGTAACTTGGACTTAATTTTAAGAGTAAAGTAGATTCACAAGTAACAATGTGAAGAATATCCTAAGTAAATTGTCACATGAAAACACAATGTTTCGAATAGTATGTAGAAGGTTCTCATCTATGTAAAGAAACAACAGGGGTTATATAAACATACATATATGCATATACAAATATGCATAGAATATCCCTGGAAAGATTCACAAAGAACTGGTAATACAGACTGTCATGAGGAAAAGACTTGAGTCTTTTAGGTTGATATATTCTCCTGTGACTCATTTGGACATTTTATTCTGTATCTGCAGTAGTTAATTTTTTTTTTCTTTTAAGGAAACCATATGTCCCATATATCAACATATATTTTTAGAACATTAGTGTAGAGATTTTTCTATGCATATGGAATTCTGATATCACCTCACAAATTGCAAATGAAATCAATCCCTTATTTTTAAATATCCAGGAACCAGAGAACAAGGGTGATCACCCAAAGGTGCCTATATACACTTCTTCCTGCATGATTCAAGAGCATCAGGAGACCCTGAAACGACTGTCCAAAGTCTGGCAAAAGGTCTCTGAACAGGATGATCTAATCCAGGAGCTTCGAAATAAGCTAGCCTGCAGTAATGCTTTGGTAAGTGCCTCATTCCTGAGAGGCCTACAATAAAGCCATGAGGAAAGAAAGGTAGGAAAGAGTCACTGTAAATTAATCTCTTTTGCCAAGACTGCCCAATGTCGTGTAGACTTGCCCTTGCCTGTTGTTCTTATTCTCTATGGCATGCTTCCCTCCTACTCATTATTAGGTTTGAGATTCTAAAAATACTTATAATCTCTCACACAACAACCTAGGTGCTCATCAGTAGATAAATAGCTTAAGAAATTAAGAGATATGCTTAAAGACATATGTGTATTGTGGAATAATATGCAGACAGTAAAAAATGAAACATTTGTAAGAATTGCAGGGAAGGATCTTTGGAATTTAGTGTTGAAAATAAGTGGATAGAATCTTGTGTTTCTTTAAAATCTCTGATCATAATATAGAAAAATATATGGCAAATTTTCAGTTGTGTCTTCCCTCCCTTAGTGGAGGTGAGAGAGGGCAGCAGTGAAGAAGTTTTTACTTCTTTTCAATGCTTGAGTTTTGTCTGAATTATTTTCTACAAAGTCAGAAAACCATGAAATTGAAACAAAACTTTCATGTTTTTTAATTTTGAAAAAGAAGTACATACACTCCCTATAAGAGACTTCTTAATTTTCAAACTCTGAATCTGAACCTTGTCCTCTGGTAGATTAAGTTCATGTCTATCATAGCCTCTAGAGAACCGTCTTCTGATTCATACCGTAGACCACCACCAAAGTTCAGGAGAGTCCAAAATGTGGCCATTGATAGACTTAAGATAAATCACCCTCTATGCCCTAGGCAACCTTGATAGAAGATTGAGATCATAATTCCTTCTCCCTACCAATCCCACAGTAAGTGCACAATGAGCTACATAGTGATACAACAAACTTATATTGCGGAAAGGAACACCCTACAAAAACAGTAATAAGACTGTGTGATGTTGATCACTCACCCTAAGCAACTTATGCTTGTTTGCAGGTTCTGGAGCGTGAAGAGGCTTTGATAAAATTACAGGCAGATTTTGCTTCTTATACAGCCACTCACAGACATCCTCGTAGCTCCTCAGAAGACTGTGAAGACGTAAAAACGGTGGGAGCTCTTTTGCTTATTTGTGTCTGGTAGGATCAGGCTGAGCTGGATTTGTTTATGAGTTTTCCTGATTTTTTTTTCTTGGCATTGGAAATTGAACCCAAGACCTTTGCACTGAGCTATAGTCCCTGTCCTTTTAATTTTTTCTTTTGAAACAATCTTGCTAAGTCACTAACTTGCCCACACTGGGTGTGAACTTTCTATCTTCCTGCAGCAGCCTCCTGGAATGTTAGGAATACAGCACCACCACACACAGCTTTGCAGATTATTTTTTGTTTTTACATTATACTTTATATTTGTATGACTTTAGTTGGCCCTGCCACAAGGGTACTCTGTATAATACATGGCAAGTCCCAAAGACTGTGACAGCATTCAATTTTGGAATCTTAACCTGCTTCTAACCATACACATAAACAAGACAGTATTCCTGTTGGTTTGGTTGATCCAGCCTTCTAGTGTCTGGTTGGAGCTGAAAAGTTACAAATTTATGAGAGATTATTAATGTAGGCTCATTACCTTCTTTAGCAAACTCTGTAAAATTCAAAGCAGGATCAAAGATTGACTCTAAACTGGATGCAATGAGGGCACACTTGTAATCCCAGCACTTTGGATCAATGCAGGAGGATTGCAAGTTTGAGTCTAGTGAGGGCAACTTAGTAAAATCCTGTCTCAAAATAAAAGTACAAATTTAAAAAGGAGTAGGGATGTAGTTCAGTGTGAAGCCCTTGGATTCAAGCCCCAGTAGCCCCCTAAAAAATAATTCTAATAATTAATTAGCAGTTAACCCATGTAGACAAATAGTAAAATTGGATAAACCAATCACCAAAACTTACTCAGGTCACCTAAATAAAGCTCTGTCTTTAGCCAGTCAGTCAGTCATGCCTAAACTTAAGGTGCATGGCAAAGCCAGCCACTGGAGACCATCAGAACAGGACAGGTGATGGCATTCTTGCATGGGCCAAGACAGGAAACTACAACAGGGACAAGTAAAGACAGTCACAACACATATAAGCTCTCCCAAGGGTCCTCCAGTTGGGAGACAGAGACTGCTCATTTCAGGACTTCCAATCCCAGAACGCTGGATGAATGGGGAATCAATATTAAACTGTGTACTTCTTCCTCCTTGGAACTACAAATATCTGTATTTATTTTAAATTCCATTTTATTCACATCCCGACCCACAGCAAGGTCTCATAACACTTTTTTTTAAATGACGCTGACTTCTCCATGAAATAGAATATACCTTCCTCCATGGTTTTGTTTTCTATCCAAAGTCTTCATGCTCCCTGGATTTTCTGTTAGGAAGGAGGGATCCTTGTCAGCATTTCTCCCAGCAGTCCTCTCTTCCCCTCAGTTGGCACAGCCACTGCTAGGCCCGTATTGGGTCACGTGGTGATTGTCCTATACTTCAGCTTTCACCTGCTGGCTTCGTGCTGCAGCTCTCCTTCCTGCCAACTTAGGTCACATCCACAACTCTCCCAGCACTCTCTGAGGCCCAGGCAATTAATTGCTCCTCCTCAGCCACTAGGCCCTGTCTTCTCTGAGTGAGGAATGCATTCCCTTGTCAAAGTTCTTGCAGAGGGACTACCAGCCCTGTACTATGGGGTCACCCAGAGCCCTGTCACCTCATCTCTTCCTACTGCCCCATCCCTAGTCCCATTCTATCCCCACTGGTCTCCTTTGTATCTTCTCTCCAAGACCTTACCAGTGGTTGATCTGTCTTACAAAGCTCTCCCCTCAGTACCTACAGTACTGCTCACTCTTAATCATCTAGAAAGTCCCTGTTCAGAAGTCCCCTTTTCTTTTTTTTTCTGTTTTGTTTCGTTTTGTTTTGTTTTGTTTGAGACAGGGTCTCACTATGTAGTTGAGACTAACCTGGAACTCACTATGTAGCCCAGGTTGGTCTTGAACTCACAGCAGTCCTCCTGCCTCAGCCTCCCAAGTGCTAGGATTACAGGTGTGCACCACCACGCCCGGCCAGAAGTCCCCTTTTCAGTGAGACCAACCCACACTTCTATTTAAAATTGTGACATAGTGGCTAGGGATTTAGCTCAGTGGTTCCAGCACCTGCCTCACAAGCACAAGGTCTAAGTTAAATCCTCGGTACCAAAAAAACAAATAAATAAAATAAAATTGTGATTTATATCCCCCACCCTTGCCCCAACTTCCATGCCCCCTTTGCTCTTTTATTTCTCCCACAGTACTTGTCAGTGTTTAACGTTTTCTAGAAGTCTTTGCCAGATCCGTGCAGTCAAGGATGTGTGTCTCGGCATTTTGCCCTCTGGTCCTCAGCTCCTAATATAGTGTCCGGTATACAATACGCGCTCCGTAAATGACTGTTACAGAGAGGAAAGGGTGGTGCACACTTTGTATGAGAAGTCCGCTGGGTCCATTTTGAAATATTTTTAAATTGATATGTAATTGACAAACCATTGCTTTTCGGTATATTCACAAGGTTGAGCAAGCATAACCACTATCTAGTTCCAGAAAATTTCTGTCACCCCAAAGGACATCCCACGCCATTTGTGGTCACTCCTCCTCTCCCCAGCCTTTGGCAACCACTGTTCTGCTTTCTGTCTCTCGGGGTCGTTCTGTTCTGGATACCTGGCCTTTGAGGACTCATTCTTCCCTGAGTCCTGACCCTGCCCTTCTTCCAACTGCCAGATCCTGAAGCACGTGCAGGAGCAGGACAGCCAGTGCCTGCACGTGGAGGAGTACCAGAGCCTCGTGAAGGACCTGCGCGTGGAACTGGAAGCTGTGTCGGAGCAGAAGAAAAACATCATGAAGGGTAAACAGGGTAGGGGAGTCCTGCAGCCAGGGAGGCTGAAGGAAGCAGAAGCCTCCTGACAGAGCAGGGCCCTGTCTTGCCCTTCTGCCGCAGACATGATGAAGCTGGAGCTGGAACTACATGGGCTGCAGGAGGAGACGTCTGCCCACATTGAGAGGAAAGATAAGGAAGCCACCATCCTGCAGCACCGGCTGCAGGAGCTGCAGCTGCAGTTCGCAGAGATCCAGAAGCTCGCTTTGAAGAAAGACAAGGTGAGACAACATTAAGGCAGGTGCGAGGCCAGGCCAGGTTCTGCCCTCTCCACCTTCTGTGATTGCCTGGGCAGTCTCCTCACATGCACAGCAGGACTGAGTGTCCCCAGGCCCAGACACATCTCTAAGACCTCTTCAGACAAATGGGCATGGTCATGGCCAGACCACATTAGAGGCACTGACCCTTTAGAGGGCCAATATGAAAGAGGTTCTTCCCCAGCCCTGCAGTGTCTCAAGAGAGTCTGGGACATGCTTACTTGTATTGTCCCCTTGTACATTTTTATGCTTGAGAGTGGGAGGAAATTCTATGAAATAATATACAATTTATTAAAAACTACACCTTTTAAAATTAGAAATACCAAGGCTAGAGGTATAGCCCAGTAGTACAGCACTTCCCTAGCATGTGTGAGGTCCTGAGTGTAGTCTGCAGCACCAAAAAAATTACAAATGTCTTAGGAATACACAAATCAGGACCGGGGATTTGGCGCAGTGGTTCCACCACCTGCCTTGCAAGCACAAAGTCCTGAGTTTGATCCCCAGTACCAAAAAAAAAAGAAAACCACAAATCAGGCAGCTTGAAAGTGTTAATGGCAAATGTCCCGGAGACCTGTAGTTGCTAACATAAATCAGTTCCTGAAAAAGCTTAGAAATGGAACCAAGAACAAAAAGCTTGCACGAAGTTTTGGGCACCAAGGATCGAACTTGGGACCTTGTGCTTACGAGGCAGGTGCTGGCACCACTGAGCTAAATCGCTGGCCCCAGGGCAAGTTTTTATAGTTAGTACTATTCCAACTTTGAACTTTCATCAGTGATATTAAAAATAATCCAGTCCATTGACTAGCTGGTCACTAAGACCTCCTGTTTCAAAGGAGTCAAAATGGAGGCATTTGGAGAGATGGCAAATTGAAGCAAGGAGTCTGATAAACACCTTTAAGTCATGCATATATTCAGTCAAAAAATATTCTTGAGCTAGGTTCCACTGCCTGCCTCACAAGCACAAGGTTCTGAGTTCCATCTCTGGTACAAAAAAAATATATTCTGAGCACTTTAAATATGCCAAGCTCTGTTCTAAGCACTAAGAACATCCCTGCTCTCATGGAAAGATAATCAACAAATAACAAAATTAATATGTAATACATACATATTGATGCCAGGAACCCATAAATTTGTGATGGTTATTTTACACATGGTGTAGTAGTAATAGAAGGCTTTTCTGGTAAGATGACACCAAGTGAGGCATCTGAATTGAGTAAGAGACGCCCTCTAGCAATGTCTTGAGAAAGAACATTTCAGGCAGAGGGCCTGGCAAGCACAAAGGCCCTGGGGTAGAGTCTGCTTGAGCTGCACCAGGAGCCCAGCTGAGGCCAAGAGAGGTGGGGGTGGCTGATAGTCAGGCATCCTAGGTGGGACCAGAGCATGAGCATCTCAGAAGGTCATTTTAAGGATCTGGGCCTTTTCAAAGTGAGATGGAAGCCAGCAAGGGTTTTGAGCTGAGGCAGAAGATCAGACTGGCACTCTTAGAGGCCCCCTCTGGTGATCTCCTTGAGAACAGCCTGAGGAACCAGTGGGAGTAGTGGAGAGCACAGGTAGGAGGAGGCTCTTGCAGTATGCAGGGAAGAGATGACAGCAGCTTGGACAAGGGCTGGAAAATAATCCCTAACAGACTTCACCTGCCGCTCAGGCCTTTCTCAGCATCCCCACTTTGATCTCCTCAGTTGCTCCAAGAGAAGAATGAAATGCTGCATGAGCTAGAGAAGAAGCTGAGCCAGGCTCAGAACTATCTCAGGAAGAAGCAGATGGAGCTGGAGAACCAGCAGTGTATGATGAAGGAACTCGAAATGACCGTGAAGGAGGCAAAGCAGGACGAGAACAAAGTGGAGTGTGAGGCCCTGAAGGCTGAGCTCCAGAAGCTGGCAGACTGTCTGGAAGAGGCCAAGCAGCAGCAGAGGCTGGCGGGTGAGGCCCCGCAGACACCGCCTGCCGCCCTTCCGACCCGGGAGGCTCGAGCAGCCCCCTCCTCCACGCGGACCCCACGTCTCACCCCAGCCTTTGTCATCTTGCATCTCAGAGCCGTCTCCACGGCCGTCCCGAGGCCTTTCCCTCACTCCTTAGCTCACTTCCTCTCTGACTTGGCTGCAGCTTGGGAAAGCAGCTGCTGAAGTCACACAAGTGCTATTTTCTCAGCCATCTCAGTTGAAGATCCCATCCCTTCCTAGCCACAGGGAGGCCAGGGCTCTGCATTTGCTCCTTTGCAACATGCTCCATCTTCCCCAGGCCCTTCAGCACAGCTCACCTCTCCCCTGCTGGGTTTTTAATTCTGTCCTCCAAATGCATTCTCTTCTGCATAGCTTTCAGTGGGGATCCTGTCCTTGCCCCTCGGTGGAGACTGCTTTCTTAGGTCGTGTTGCCTTGGGTACAGGATTTCTTTGGGAATGATAAAAATGTTCCTGAGTTAGATATCGGTAATGGTTGCCCAACTTTGTGAATGTACTAAAAACTGAATTGTCTATTTTAAAGCTATTAGGTGATTAATTATTAGTTTAGGAAGGTCCAGAAAAAAAAAAAAGGCCCAAAGTTTTGCTTCCTCCCTCCTACTCCTTTAACTCTGTCTCCTGACACTGTTAGACACAACATTCGAATCTCATTTCTCAGCTTTTCCTCTCATTCTTCTGCCAACCTTATCGCTGTTTTCTCTTTCTCCCTCCTGCCCTGGTTATAGTCATCGACCCCTTTCTCTCCCTCCATACCCATTCTTTGGGGAGCTCCCCTCTTCCTCACAGCTATATTTCTCTGCTGACGACTCCAAAACTTGGCGCTCCAGCACTGACGTCGCAGCTGTGGCCAGTCTTGTCTTTAGAGAGGAACTTCCCCTGGGCAGCCCACCCACACCCCTCACTCAACAGTTCCGAAACTCTCTACTACTCAGTAGAGTCATCCTCCCCACCTCGTCCAAGGTATGTCCCTGTTTCAGTCAGTGATCCCATCCTTTTCCCTATGCTGAGAAACCTCCAGGAAGCAATGAGAGAAGAGTGACATTGACAGTAGAAACTACAGGGTAAGGGAACACGTTGGGCATAAAAGAACCCCTCACCGAGATGCTTTTCCCCTCAGGGGAGGCAGTGACATGGGATGAACGGGTGTTGCTGAGACTCTTTCTCAGATGCATCCCAATTTTCCTAAGGCGTTCTTTCCCTCATATCAGGTATCTGTTCACTAAATCAAATCTAAACATTTCTCTTAGGCTTTTAAAGTCCTTGAAGCCTTCTCTAATCCGCCCAGTTCCCGACTCTTTAGCCCAGCATCTCTCTCATTTTCCTTTCCAAATTTGTCTCTCTCTGTCCTCCACATGCCTTCTCCATTCCCTTCCTCAAGCATCTGGTCTAACGATTGCCCACCTGAAACTCTCTCCTGCTCCTTCCTCTAAGGCTCAATGTCTATCCCTCCACAAGTCCACCTCCAGCTGTCCCAATCCCTTGGATCTCTCTTCCTGAGTTCAGTACTCCTGGGTTCTCAGGCTAGGGGCGTAGCTCAGTGGTGGAACAGGTACTCAGCATGTGCAAGGCTCTGGGTTCAGGCCTCAGCACTGAAAATAAATGTATAAATACCATTCCATCTTGCCCATGAGAGGGGGACAATGATCGTTCCCTCACCAGACTCTAAATTTTGTGAGGGTCAGGATTTGTCCCTAATGATAAATCACACAGGAGATACTGAGCAATTTCTATTAGTCTGCTTACTTTTAGTCAAGATAAAATCCATGGCTAGGAAGTAGTTGAAATCAGATCATTAACAGAGCTCCTTTGGACTAAAATGCAATGAAGTGAAGGCAGATTGGAAATTGAAGTAGCTCACACAATGAAACGACAGACTCTTTAGACAGTTTTGTTTTGTTTGAGAGCCCAGTCTTCACACATGCTCCTTCGCACGTGTCTTCAGTCGTGTCCCTGCTTGTCTCTTGGCTTCTGCAGCTCAACAAGCAGCACAATATAAGGAAAAGGCCAGGCTGGCAGAGCAGAACCTGGAGGATGCTGAGAAGAAACTTCAGAGCTGCATTTACCAGGACAAGCAGAAGGCAAACACCATCCAAGAGCAGCAAAGAGAGCTGCAGAAGCTGCAGAAGCTGCAAAAGGAGGCCTTGCTGGCTGAAGAGGAGCTGTCACAGAGCAGGTACCTCTGGCTCACCGCCAGAGAAAGGCTCTGTCCAACAGCCAGCCAGGACCATTGTAGGCAGCTGCCAGGGGTGCAAAAGCAGGGAGTCCCCAAGTGGCCAGCTCCACTTGGCCAATATGGGCACTGAAGCCCATCTTCCTGTTGCCACTTTGCTTTAGGAAACGGGTAGAAGAGCTAACCTCAGAAGTTGCCGAGACCCTAAAGAAGCTTGAAAATGCAGACAAGGAAAGGAGGAAGCTTCAGAAAACAGTAGCTGAGAATGAAGTAAAAGTAAATGAATTGCAAGATCAGACCAGACACTTTCAGCACCAGGTATGAAGGGCAAGTGGGCAGCCAAGTGTGGTGGCATCTGTCCCACCTAAATCAAATGTGTCAGTATTGACTTGGGAAGATGTCACTACCCAGTCCATGCAAACTGCTGGTCCAGGGTTTGTGTTAGAATGCTACATCAGCCACTCTGTAACAGCTCCCAGGACCAGTAATAAGCATTTTCAAGGATTAAACACAAAAATAATCAAAGGATGCATTGCTCTTTCTAGGATTCAAAAGCTATCCTTGTCAGTCAATTTAAAGTCTTTGATCTCTGAAATATTCTTTTTGTGCTTTCCTAAGATTGCCTAAAACTTTATTCAAAGAGGTTTTGTGTCAAAAGATTTGGTAAGTAAGTGGGAGAGAAGGATTATTCTGTGAGACTTGGATCTATAAATAAAATAAATTTGTCTAATGAAACAAAGAAAAAATGTTGCAGAACATCAAAGCAAACTCTTTATTACACATACCATAGAACTAAGAAATTATCTTCATACTTATTTCAGCCTTTCCCTGGGTACAACTGTCCGGATTTCTTTTCCAAAACATAATATAGTATAAGGCTGTCTACCAGCCTGGTCTTTATTTTTGCAGCACAGAGACCTATTATCTGCCAAAAACAAGCTAGAAGATGACCTTCAGGAAGTAAGGAAGTTACTGGAGGAGAAAAAAGAGCAGTTGAAAAAGAGCAAAGAACAAGAGAAGTTGCTGGAGGAAGAACTTGAGGTTGTTCGACAGGAAGAAAAAAAGAAGGACAAGACGGTGAGAGGAATCTTGAAAGAGATAGATGTGTCCAAAGCCAGACATGGACCTAGCTGGGCCAGGCGCAGTGCAGAGGCCGAGGGTGCTCAGAGCTCAGGAGGGAAAGGAGGGAAGCAAAAGTTCAGGGAGTAAGAGAACAAGGAGGCCAGGACACCTCAGTGCAGTGAGGCTCAGTGGGGAGAAAGGTAGAGAAAGGAAGAGGGAGTGTTCATAGAACTCTGAGGCTAACAGCTCTTTTCCGGGCTTTACACTTTAATGCGGAGAGCAGTTAAAAGAGAATCTGAGAAAGCTAAAAGAGGAAAATGAGAATCTCCGAGAAGAGCTGGCACATTATTTTACACAACCGGAACCCTCTATCAGCAAATACAATGCCACCCAGCAAGTCATTCAAGAACTAAACATACAGATGAGTAGATAGGAATCCCCAAGGGGGTGAGGAACTTGAATTCTGTGACGATTGGCTTGAAATCTGTTACCTATGTCTCCTCCACTGCAGCTAAGTGGCTCAGCCACTTGCATCTGACGGCACCTGCAGCTCTACCCCTCTCCTTGAGGGAGGAGGGGTGGCCTTCAGGACCTGGCTTCTAAGCCAAAGAAATGTTTCTTCCCTATGTGGAAAGTTTTATTTCATACCTGGTGTTCCATAAGTTTCCAGGACAGATGTAAAAGAAGCATCTGCCTCTGAATCGACAGGGCACAATTGGCCAAAGAATGACTGGGGCAAGCCTAGCTTGGCGGGTAAATTAGTTTATTAGGAGTTATTTACAGAGCAGTTGATGACTTACATGAAGCAGCACTACCAAAGTCACCAATCTCCCTTTGCTAAGCTACTGGTTTTAAAGGGCTCTATGGTGAAGAGAAAGAAGCAAAAGACTAGAGCCCTTGCGGAAAGTTATGTATGTTCCGTTCCCATGCCACCCTTATCAAGAACTCTGCGGGTCTGAGCAAGCACTGTTCTTCCTCAGTAGTAGAGAACCTTGTACTGCATCAGGCACACAGACTCAACACTTGCGAGGGCCCACTGGACAGCTAAACTAGAAAGTTGTTTTTTTGTTTTTGTTTTGTTTTGTTTTGTTTTTTAAATGTGTAAGTATATTCAACCTTTTTAAAAGTACACCCCAGCTGAGTGTGGTGGTGCATGCCTGTAATCCCAGCACTCAGGAGGCTGAGGCAGGCGGATCGCTTTGAGTTTGAGACCAGCCCGGGCTACATACTGACTTCCAGATCAGTCATGACTACACAGTGAAACCCTGTCTCAAAAAACCAAAACAAAGAAAAAAAAGTATACCCTACCTTTTTAAAAGCATACCCCACACATAATAAACATATTACATCAATCGAAATAGCCACTAAAAATAGGCTTAGTTCCACCCCACGTATGGTGGTTCACAACTATAGTCCCAGTGCTCTGAAAGGCTGAAGCAGGAGGATCAAAAGTCCAAGCCCAGAATGGGTAACTAAGCAATTTAGTGAGAGCCTATCTCAAAAAAGCAGGGATAAAGAAGGAGAAGATGTAGCTCAATGGGAAGGCCATATGTTCAATCCCCAGTAGCACAAAAGAAAAAGAAAAAGAAATGAACTTAGTTTTACTTTCTAAAATGCACTTCCTTCAGTCAATTTTGCATACTTTGATTTTAAAATTTCCCGTCCAAAATAAGGCAGTGTATCTTGAGACTCTCCATTTATTTTATTTTAGTATATTTTTCTACTGTATTTTATACTTTATTATAGTTAATAGTAGAAAATCTCATTCATTTCTATATCCTATATTTTGGATATCTTATTTTTCTTCTTTTTTTTTCTTCATGAGAGTTTGTTGGTACATTTTAGGTATACGGTACAGTTACATTCCTCATTGGGACCTTGTACCTTTACATGACAGGTCTTGGTTCTCATTTTTCCCCTTACCCTTATCCTCCCTTCACCCCCTCCTCCCTTCTCTATTTACAAATACTTTATTTCTATATTTTCATTTTCTCATTTTTTTTCTTTTCCCTATTACCTTTCCCCTACCCTTCCCCACACCTTTAGTCCCTTTCTTCCTATTTCACATTGTCAATTATATCATTAGGATCTTATGTACTATTATAGTTTCTTCACACCGGAGAAGCTTCGGTATTTACGCATGTGTGGCTTATTTATTTCACTTAGGATTATATCCTCAATATGTATCCATTTTCCTATGAATGAATCTAATTAAACTCACTTACAAGTTATAATAAATTTTCAATTGATTCTCACAGATTTTAAATAGATATCATTTTCAAGCAACAAAACTTTTCTAGCTATTTCTTTGCACTATTTATATATATTTTATTTTTCTTGTCTTGCAGCATTGGACTGTACCTTTAGTATGATGTGCAATGCCAGGAGTGTTAGCAAGCATCTTTTCTTACTCTTAGTAGAATGCATCTGTTCAGTATGATATTCCTTGAAAGCTTCTTTTTGCTCTCCTTTATCAAATTTCTTCCATTCTTCAGTAACTAAGGATTTTCTCAGTGTGAATGTTGGATGTTTCTCAGTGTGGATGTTGAATTTTATCAAACGCTTTTTTAAAAGCATCAAGATGATTATATCATCTTTCTCCTTAAAGCAGTGATGTAATGAATAAAATTAATTGATCCTTATTTTGACTTATCCCTACATTTCAAGGATGAGTCCTGACTGTGTATCATGTATCTATCTGTGTGTGTACACGTGTGTGTGTTTGTATGCATGTGTGTGTGTTTTACTGGAGTTGTCTTGTGTCAATCTTTTAATGCATACTTGGCACACACTAGGAAGTAAAATAAGGCTGGTATGACTGGAGTGTACTCATCAAAGGAGTCATTGGTATAGGATAAGATTATGAAGATAGGCAGAGGCAGACATTATGGCCTCTTTTAAGAAATTTGGGGTAAGAGAAATGGAAAGCTGTTGATAGGACTTCCTCAAAGGGACAAGAGAGGTTATTTGATCTTGTTTAAATTTTCAAATATAACTCTGACTAATGTGTGGAAATGTATTAGGGGAGGAGTAGGAGACTAGTTAGGAGGCTACTGCTATTCTGGCTAGAATGACATCACGGAAAATGTCATGGCATAATTGATCAAACTAACTGATGGAATCCCTGAAAATGAGGATTCCAGAATGACTTAGTGGAATTCACTTATAAAACCATCCCAACCTAATACTTTATGTTGCTTGTTGTTTGCTTTTTGAGACAGATGTCACTATGGAGCCCAGGCTGGCTTGAACTAGTGATCCTGTTCCTTCAGCTTCCCAAATGCTGGGATTACAGGCGTGCACCACCACACCTGGCTGAGTGGATGTTTATGAGAACTTTCATTTGAACTCCTTGACTATGTAATCTCCATCTATGTAGATTTTTCATTGTGTTTTTCTAAGCAAAATCAATTATGTTAGCAAAATTTAAAATAAAGTTTCCATTTTAGCTTTTTTCCTTTTCATAAACTACCCTCCATGGTGACATTTTTCACTTTAGTCACCATTTATCAACACCTCACAGTGACTGTAGTTTCTCCAGTGACTCCCCCGGGTTACTGGGCAGACCCAGCTGATTCCATGGTTTGGTTTGGTTTCGTTTCATTTTGTTTCACTTCATTTTGTTTTGTTTCAGAAATCCCTAGGGAAAAAAATGTTATTTTCAGAAGAACAAATTATTTCATTTCTAGGAATCACTTCACCACTTGAGCATGTAAAATAAAGAGTTAAAAACCCAATCCAACACTTCTCACCTCACTAATTCCTAGAGTTTAAGATATTCAACATTCGTCTGAAAAAGTATGCTTGTTCAGCACTAAGCAGTTCCTGAATATAAAGTCAGAAAACTCAAAAGAATATGTTACTGTGTGCATGGCCACAGTAGGATGCAGGTGTACTGGAATACCAAAGAACAGAAATCAGACATATGACTTTTTAAGATTTCCCTACTACTTCCAGACTTAGAAACAAATCCCTGTCCTGGACTTAAAGTATATAAGATGGGTCCCCCATGTTTATGATAATAATTCCCAGTCATATAGAAACTGACACCTCACAAAGCCCTATTCATCTCATTTGGTCATCACAAAAACTGTATGAAACACTTGGAATGACTGTATCCCAATTTGTGGAAATAGAAACTGAAGCCAAAGAAATAAGTAAATGATAGAATCTGGACCTCAGCCCAGATCCTTTGACCCCAGGCTCAACTCATCTAAATTTAAAACATAGAGTTGCTTTTAACCAAACGTCTACTAGAACTGTATGTTCAACTGATCTCTAACTTCAAACAATATTTGGATCGTTAACTCCAAATAATGCAATATTTCATTCCAGCAATTTTTTAAAAATTGATTTCGTATTTATCACAAATTTATTATGTGCCATGCTCTGAGCTATAGCAATAGGGGAACAGCAGTGAAACACACACCTACTCCCACTTCCATGGAGCATCCAGTCCAGTGAATTATGTCACAAACTAAGAAAAGGATAAAACACAAATGAAATGCTATGTCTAGTGACCTAGAGTTAGATTCCAAATCTGAATCAAGGCCACAGTCTACAAAAAGGACTTGCCCTAGTACTTCCAATATTTCCTGTATCTGGAGGTGTGCTGACTAAAACAGGAAGGTAGGTGGAGGGATGCAAAAGAGCCTACAAAGACAGCTCTACATTTATAGTAGTGATTTAAGGACTTGCGCATTAATATAAACTGCTCTGAAGGTTCTTGTGGAGAGCAGAGAGTCCAGCTCTTGTCCACTTCCTATAGTCACAGAGTGTTTCTGTGGCCAGAAGCTGGGATCCTGACAGTGATATTCTTGCTCCCTGAAGATAACCCACCAGAAGGAGTCCATAATGAGTCTGCAGACCCAGCTAGTACAGGCCGTGCAAAAAGAGAAGTGTTATCTCCAGACCATGGTCACTAAAGAAGTCTATGAAGACTTAGCCCGGAAGTCAGCTGCTTGCCAAGATAAACTGACACAAGCCCTGGAGAAGGTGAGGCCACACTTTCCCAATTCCCAGTTAGCTTTCAGACAAAAACCGGGTGATGTGAGAGCTGCAAGAGCCAGTTTCCTGCGTGACTCTCTCCAAGGCGTCTCAAACCCTTACCTGGGGTATCCGTCCACAGAAGGCCTGCTTCTTCTGAATGAGGCTTTTTCAGGACAGGGGTGGGGGAAGTGGGCAAAGATAGAGGCCGTATCTAACAAATCTTTCTGTACATGAGTGACTTGGGGCAAGGCTTTATCAAAGCCTGGATTGTCAGGGACATGCATGCCCCATCGATGCTTGGGCTGATCGTGCCTGTAGATCAATTTATCACATTGGAAAATAAGAAATGGGACAGAGAATGGAAAGCTGCAGAAAACCAAAAACTATCACTTCCTACCCATCTCTGGAACCCTAGGCAAGGTGACCATCTGCACGCCTGGGGGAGAGACCGGGGAGGGACGGAGCCCTTCTCTATTCCTGACCACACAGAAAGGGCTAAAGGGCTGTGGTGATCACTCTCATTCCCATTGTTTTTACTGGAAGCTCAATCATGCAACCTCAGAGACAAAGAGCCTGCAGCGAAACTTGTTACAGACCCAAGAGAGGAAAACTCAGCTGGAAGATGAAATTCTTGCTTATGAGGAGAGAATGAGAAAGGTCAATGTGGAATTAAAAAAACTGCAAGACTTCCACCGGGAGAGTGAGATAGAGGTGAGGAGAAGCAAGGGGCGTGAGCTGCTTTCCTGTTGGGGGTTGTTCTCGAGGTCACCTTTTGTATCCAGAATTATTTAGCACTAAACCATACCCTTTGGCTAATGGGTTCCCTTCACTTTCTTGGCCGCACAAACTTCAGACGGAAGCAGCAAAGATCAGAGCAGGGGCGCCCTCTGCTGGCCATTAGGAATAAAATACCCCAACAAGTCCCAGGTTGAGAAAGCACCCTTTGTCCTTGTCATTGTTTCCTCTGGGCTCCCTCTCCTCACTTTGTGCTCCTGGGCAGGTGCACGCGTTTGACAAGAAGCTAGAGGAGATGAGCAACCAGGTGATGCAGTGGCAGAAGCAGCACCAGAATAACCTCAAGATGCTGGCAGCGAAAGAGACTCAGCTCAGGGAGCTCCAGGAGGAAATGGCCACCCTGAAAGAGAACCTCCTTGCAGATGAAAAGGAGGTGGGCACTCCTGTTGCTTCCTCTTGATCCCCCCTGGCATGGCCCATGACCACCCGGGTGTCCTTTGTAGAGTCCAGGTACTGCGAGCAAGGAAAGGACACCCTACCCCTCCACCAGAAGGCATGGGTGGGTGCTCCAGGGCCGCAGCAGCTGTTTCAACCCAACTCTTTCTGGTGGCTTTGTTGATAGAAAGTACTGATCCAAACAAAGGCCCTATTGCAGAGAAGAGACTGCAGGGCACACCAGCTACCCGTGACTCAGACTACCCACTGGGCAGTACCTCCAGTCCATCCTGACATGTTCAGTAGCAACCGCAGACCCTGCAGTAGAATTGGCTAAGTGATCTTCTCCACAGGTCGCACATACAGCTCCCTGAGCAGTGAGTTTACAGCAGGACATCTGAGTGGCCCTGGGGCCTTTGTTCAAATTAGAAAGAAACCATCTCTTCCTCTGGATATTTTTTTCTTCCATCTATCAAAAAAATAGCTTAGCATAGTTTTTATTTATTTATTGGGGGAGTACAGGGAATCAAACTCCGGTCCTTGCACTTGAAAGGCAAGCAGTGGAACCATTGAGCTAAATCCCCAGCCCTAGCATACTTTTTTAGAATAAGTCATTCAGTGCCTTTGGCCTGAAAATCACTATTTTAAGTGTATAAATCTGCTGTTTCTGCCATAAATGGTGCCTCCTCAGAGACAGCACCTCTGTGTGCGTGCAATCTGCACAGCAGAGGTAGAGGTGCTGGTGTGGCCGCTCTGGCTGGGGATTAAACAGCAGTGTAGATTTTCCTTCTCCTATGAAGACAGGAAAGGTCTAATTCAGGAGGAGAGAGGTGATGGGTCTGTGCTCCCATGTCCTGAACTGTCTCAATTTCTTCTTGTACAAAAGCCTTGCTGCCTGCCCCCACGATCTGTGCCCAAAGAACCCTGTAGGCTCCACCGAGACAGCGATCAGATTATGTCCAACATGGAACAGTGGGCAAAAGAACAAAAGTAAGTAAGAGGGAAGCTTCCAGGCTCAGGTGAGGAAATACATGTGCCAGTGATTCATCTCTCTCTCTCTCTCTCTCTCTCTCTCTCACACACACACACACACACACACACACACACACACACACGCATGCATGCACACACCCTGCTATCCTAGAGTTGAGAATAAGATGAAGGGGTCCAACTCTTATGGGAGGTTTGGAAAGTCCTGAGACTTGGGATAGCGCAGCACCAAGATGGAAGGAGTGCTTCTGTGGGGTCAAATTTCCTCTTCCCAACCTGGGATTAGTTTCACCTGGATCTTTCCCTGAAGTCATCCCTGAACTCACAGTGATTTTACACAGCAGTTGAATACAGAGAGTCCAGGGGCTAGGAAGGCTCTACCTCTGGGACAGGATGGTTGAAGTGTGTGAATCGAGGATCCAGCAGAAACCCTGCTTAAGAACATCCAGTGTCCCATCCAGCCAGTGCATGCCCTCCTGGCTCACAGGAGTCTATAGAGCCACTCACTCTTCTCTTCTGCAGATTCTATTACAGGGTTGCCAATGAGAAACTAGGAAACAAGCTGCGTGAACAGGTCAAATACATTGCTAAGCTGACTGGTGAAAAGGAGTAAGTTATCCCACCCTATCCCGGCTGCCTCTTGGGACCTAATGAGCCAGGGCTGGCTTTGTCATTCAATATGTGGTCAGATCCCAGCAGGGGGAAAGGCCTAGTACTTTGGATGGATGCTTGAGTCCTGAATCCACATCTACACAGTCTGCACATCACTTGTGCTTACAGGGCCCAAATTCCTTTCCCAGAACAGTTATAGCAATCTCTATGCTCCTTCTTCCTCCCACCTGTGATTTCCAGGGGGGAATGCTGAGAGGGGAACAAGCACTGTGAGGCGGATAGGACCAGTCAGGGTAGGGCAGAGATCCTCAGATGAAGGCACACAGAAAGAACATCTTTTCATGGAGGAGTCTGAAGTGAGCAGTCCAGGATGAGGATTCCTCTGACCCCCTGGGGACCTATGTGCTTTGTACCTGTGGCTGCAGCCTTCTCTAAATCTTGCCTCACTTGCATGGGCAAATCTGGGTCCATGGACAGTGGGTTGTGGGAAGAGTATGGAAAGCTGGAGAATAGAAGTGAAGGAATTATCTTTGTTACTTTTTCCCACTGCTAAGACAAAATACTTGACACCCAATATTAAAAAAGGAAAGGTTTATTTTGGCTCACAGTCTGTAGAGGTTTCAGTCCATAACTGGCTGGCTCCACAGCAGGGTGGCATGGCAGAGGGGCATCACAGAAGAAAAACAGTTCATGGCAGGCAGAAGACAGCAAAAGCAGTAGCCAGCAAGTGACAAGCAACCAGAGACCCTCTTTGTGTCCCTTATACTTACCCAGGCTACTCATCCTTAGAGTGACAGCACTCATACCTAGGATGGGGCACCCTTAATCATACCCGAAACTATGTCAGACCAATCAGTGAACTAATTTAGTGATCACACACCCTTGATCCCAGCATCACACACTCCAGATCCAGCCACCTCTGAAAAGCCCCACCTATGACAACATGAGGCTATGGGGGGACATCTAGACACAAACCATAACAGGTTAAATACCCAAAACAGAGATTTGGGGTGTGTAAAGGAACCAATGATGACAAGCCCTAGCACAGTGCTCCCAAGCTTTTGTTGGGGAACACTTAGAAAATGACCACATGTGTTTGGCACACAAGGATAGTGTGGGATGGGCTTGCTTGGGACAAAGTGGACCAAGGAACAGCTGCCCCCAAACCCTGCTCCATGGGCTGAAGGCATTGGTGCCTTGGCATAACTGGAACCCATTTGTGGCTCCCAGCTGGGAAGCTCTCCCCGCAGCTTTGACCTTAGGCAAGGTAAATGGAAGGGGAGGCTAATACCATTGCAACAAGTAGGCCAAGGACCCAGAGGCCAGGATGTGGGTGGGCAGAATGGGATACGCGAGGCATCAGAAATGCTGGCACAAGAGCAGAGAGAGTGACAGAGAGCCGGGGACTGAGGGCAGTCCCAGCGCTCCATCTCCTGCCCACTGGCACATGGAGCAAGGCACCACAGGGCAAGAGGTATGTGCAGAGTTGGCCAGGTTTGAGAGAGCAAGAGAGTAACACAAACACCCAGAGAATAGGTTGAGGATTCATTTCTTTGATTTCCTCCTTAAAGGAATGTGACATTTCCCACTGGACATAAGAACATTTTCCAAGGAGATTAACTAAAAGTTGGCAGAATCTGAGAAGTACCAGATAATTTCAGGCTTTTTCTTTTAGTATGCCAAGTTCCAGGAAGTTCTGTTTCACAAAGAACTCATTTTTGAGTTTTGCTTGATCCTAATTGAAGGAAATTTTTTTTTTAATTTCTTATGTTTTTACTGTTTTAGGTAGGAGGGATTAAACCCAGGTCGTTTACACTAAGCTACATCCCCAACTCTTTTTTTTTTTTAATCTTATAATTAAGTCACTAAGTCACTTTTTATATTAATTACATATACTAATTCACTAAGTTGTTTAGGCTGGTCTCAAATTTGAAGTCTTCCTCCCTAATCCTCCCAAAGTGTGGGGACTATAGGTATAGGCCCACCACACAGCCACCATTATCTTTTTTTTTTTTTTTTTGGTACCGGAGATCAAACTCAGGTCCTTGTACTTGGGAGGAAGGCGGCAGAAACGCTGAGCTAAATCCCTGGCCCCAGCCACCATTATCTTTTAATGATAATAGTAATGCTCAACTCGTATTTAGTGTTTAGTATACATTCTAAGTGCTTTACCTGCATGAATATTTAGTCTCCCTAAGACCTCAACATACAGACACTCCCTGACTTAAGATGGAGTACTTACTCTAGGATAAACCCATCATAAGTTGAAAATGTATTCGTACTCGTCACCTACATATTACACCTTAGCAACACAGTGTCCTGTTTCCCCTCATGGTCCTGTGGCTGTTTGGGAGCTGCAGCTCGCTGCTCCAGCCCTACACCTCTAAAGAGGATCCTACTGCGTATCACTAGTCAGGGGAAAACTCCAAAGCACTGTTTCTACTCAATGTATATCATTTTCCCACCACTGTGAAGTTGAACCATGGTAAGTTAGGAACTGCCTGCAGGTATAGACACCATTTATAGATGAAGAACTGGGAGGCTAAGGAACTTGCCCCTGGTCTCACATCTAGTAAGTGGCAGAACCAGAATTCCAGTTCCAGAAGTCCTGTTTCAGAGCCCACAATCGCCCACTGCTGTCAACATTAATTAAGAGGAAAATGACCACTAATAATAGCTGCCATTGATTGAAATGGTTATGGAAAATGGGCTTAGTTACCTTTCCCTTCACCTACATTACAGCCTCTATTGCCTCATTTTTTTTTTTTTTTTTTTTTTTTTTTTTTT